GTTTTCATTTTCATTTCAAAAGCTGAGTAGAAAGAGAAAAATCAGTAGGATATAGGCCAAGTTACAAACTTCAGATAATTCAGAAAAATTGCAGTGTTGTAAAACAGTTAGGTTGACAATACAAACCTAGAAAAGAAAGAAATTATATTAGATTGGGACTAAAGTAAGAATAGGAAGTCCTATCTCGGAAAATTTGAAAGTATACCAGCAATATAGTATGAGCTATCGCAATGATTTGACCCAGGGGAAAACTAAAAAACTATAGCACATTTACTTATTTTAAAAATCCAATAAAATAAGTGCATTTATTACAAAAATACTCATAAATTAATTTAAAGGAAATAAGCCACAGGCTTTCTGCAGATAATTTAAAAAACAACTCACTGGGAGCTCAAGAAAATGTATGGCATGAATTAAAAAGACCAGGTTTCTGGGGGGAAAAAATCCTTCATGGTTGATTGAAATGTCTAAAAAAGTACAATGTCAAAGACACTATCACAAAAAGAGATAGAGAATCTCTTTAAAAATGTAAAGATGCTCAAGCTAAAAATCATGTGAAAATAAAATTATGTGAAAAAAAATCCACAGATCACCTTCAATTAAAATACAAGTAATATATTGAACTAAACGCATACACATACCAGTAAAATCTAGAGAATTTGAATAAGAGATTGACAGATCATATTGAGGTCAAATATCTTTATCAAAATATTGGACTTCTGTTTTTTGTTTGTTTATTTTGGAGAGGTTTTTGCAATAGGGCGTATGTGCTCACCAGAAAAACAGAAACAGGAAGCAAGAAATCGCCCCCCAGGGAGGATGGCCACACCACAATTCCTTCTCCTCCATTCTCCTCTCGGCATCTTGGGCACGCATGCACACGCACCTGGTGTAAGTTTAAGCCACCAGGTCTGGGACTTGAACCATGGTTGACTACATGGGACTCAAGCGACATAGCCATTACGCCAACCACTGGTCCCGGACTTCTGTTTTGTAAGGTGCTACCAGTGGAGGAAACGAGGGTATTTGGGACTTCTATGTCATTCCTTACTACTCTTTGTGAATATACAATGATCTCAAAATAAAAAGCTTAATGTATAAATACTGATAAAATGTAAAATGTCAACGATATGTTTTTAAAATATCGAAAGGGAGGAATCTTGCCAGAAAATTACAGTGCAAAACATGTTACAGAGGGAGTGAACAGAGAAAAAATGGGTTTGCTTTAGTCAGAGAAAGACCTGAAGGAACTTCTCATGCCCATAGTGTCTTTCGAAAGAGAAAGATAGTTGGTACTACATCAATACTACAATAGAAATACATGTCCTCGCCTCAAGTTAGTAGTAAAGTCATGATGCTCTTCTTCACAGTTGATAACTTGTTGCTATTAGTCACTACCAGCCTGAGGATAGGCACACTGCCTTTTTATATTTGCACTCTTTTCTTCCAGGAGAGTAGCTGGCACATAATAGGCATTCAATACATGTTTACTTTTACTGCAAAAGAAAATAGAGACAGAGAGTGAAGACCTAAAGATGAATAACATGCTAGTCTAATCACCATCCTCAGGAGGTAGTATATAACCAGATAATTAAGTGTATGGATACTAGACTTAGACTGGCTGTGTTCAAATCCTGGCTCTGTTCTTAACTAGCTAAGTTTTACTACTTTTCGAAATACAATATAGCCTTCTTCATAAATATAATTATTTATTAAATACAGTCATCCCTCTTTATCTGTGGAGAATTTGGTCCCAGGACCTCCCACAGATTCCAAAATCCATGGATGTTGAAGTTGTTTATATAAAATAGCATTGTGTGCCAGCCCTATATGCTAGTAGTAAAGGGTACCAGATCCCACCTGGCTGATAGTGGTTTAAATTCCTACTTGGAGGCTTGAAAAATCCCGACAGGTTGGAGACATGGAAAAGAAGAGATTGTGTCATGACCATGCCCCATTATGGGGTGCTTTCTCCCTCTCTCTGTTTCTCTCTGGCAAACACACACACAAGCTCTGGCAATTTTTAAAAAAGTTTAAAATAAAATTCAAATGTCATAAATATTTGTGCATAATTTCACACATCTCCCATACACTTATACTTACTTATTTATATTACCTATTACAATGGAAATGCTATGTAAATAGTTGTTATACTATATTCTTTTTTTTTTTTTTTTGAGAGTTTTTTTCACTATAGGGCACGTGCGCTCGCCAGAAAGACAGAGAGAAACAGAGAGATAGAAAGCGAGAAATCACCCCCCAGGGGGGATGGCCATGCCGCAATCCCTTCTCCTCCATCCTCCTCTTGGGATCTTGGGCATGCACGCACATGCACCCAGTGTGAGTTTTAAGCCACCGGGTCCGGGACGCGAACCGCGGTCGACTACGTGGCAGTCCAGCGACATAGCCATTACGCTAACTGCTGG